CAAGCTAGTGTTGTGCTTTTACACATCGACATTTGTAGCAGTGCCCACACAGCATATATACTGTGTACAGTTAAACAATGCCAGTGTTTTCTTGTTAGTACCATGTGCCTCTGAAGATGGTTTTACTAAAACCGAAACATGTAAGGCAAGAGTGAGAAAGAAGTGACCATAAAAAAATTGTTACACTCGACGGACTTTGTATTGATTTTATGTATAATAGTGTAACGGACCAAAATGAAACAATTTAAAACAGGATTTCAGAAACACAAACATTATGTGTAACATGGAATATTTAATCCATATTCATTTCTGTAACTTTTGGCAAAAACATTTATTGGTTTTGCAATTATTTGAGAAGCGTAATTTGTCTGAAACAAAGAAATATGGTTTTTGTGATTCTTGCAGTGGTGATTATTTAGGACTGATTTTTTGGGAAGTGATGCTGTGTATTCTGGTACAGGGGAACCCCATGTAACGTTACTTGATTTAAGGTTTTCCCGCACTTAGCACTCAGTTTCACTGATCCGAGGTCAATAGTCTTACCATTAATCCTGACACAGAGCAGTATGTTCTTTAAAACGTTGGTAACCTTCTACCAGACTAACCAGATCACATCCCAAAAGACTGCCATCTTGGAAGGAATGAAATTAAAAAGTATGGCTTAATATCTGTTTGTTGCTCTGTGCTATTGTGTAGACTTGAAGATTACAGCAATCCACGTACAGCCTTGTTTGTGACATTGACAAGAACATTCCTGATGGAGATGGTCGTCATTGGGGTTGTCGTTGCCTTCTGGCTGACATTTAAAAAGAATTCTGAGGTAAGTTCTTTTCCAACATCATTAACTAACTGCATGGAGCCGATTCTGTCTTGAGAATACCATTTTCACAAGAATCCGCCACTGATCTCTACCACGAGCCACATGAGTCCAGTTCACACCCTCATTTTAATATTGGCCTCCCAGCTGTTCTTAAGTAGACACTATCCACACAGTGCTTGACTGTTGCCTACCATTCAGCCAACATCTGTGTGCTGCACACAGACAGACAGCACATGCATTAAAAAAAAACTGTTAGCTGTTAACCCTTTAAGATTAAACATGAAATAACATGAAACTTTTGACCAAGAATTATACCCACAGAGCAGAACTTTATGTGGCTTTTACATGGGCCATTGGTATGTTTTGGTTTTACTATTTTTTAATCATTTAATGTTATATGTAAGAATAATCTTAATGCTTTTTTTTATTGCTATTGGGGTGGGACTAAGTCCCTTGTACTGCGGCCACTTCTGGCCTATTGTACCGGCCCCAGATATGTGAGGGCAGTTGTGTAGTAATCAGTGGAATGAAGATTGGCAGGGGACACCGAAGTACTCGGAGGAAACCTGCCCCAGCCCCACTTTGTCCACCGCAAATCCCACTTGACCAGACCCGGGATCGAACCCGGGCCGCCGCGATGGGAAGCCAGCAACTAACTGTTTGAGCTATTGCGCAGCCTTGATCTTAATGCTTAATAAGCATTGAAACATTAACATGAATTCTTGAAAATAACGTTTTAAGAATCTGTTCCAACCTCACAGAAAAATGAGATTTATCTTACAAAGACCAGTTGGTTAATGAATCTTAAGGAAATGAGTGCTGTTTATTCTGAGTATCGTATGAAACACATACATTGTGTGGGGAAAATACAGGGTTTTTCACTTTAAAGCTAATGTGCTTTAAAGATCAAATGTTTTGCTGTCCTGTACTTGTTCTGTCTAGTCTGCGTCCCATTTGCTCTGTCCAGGTTCTGAGTAGTGACAGCAGGAGCAGGCCACAAGATATTACATAAGCTATGGGATGTAACTGATGATTCACCAAACATGTTATTGCAGTGCTGGGAAACATCACTGGGCCAAGAGGTATATCGCCTGGTGATTACTGACTTCCTGCTTGCAGTTGTTGGCACTTCTTTGGCTGAGTTTGTTCGCTTTCAAATTTACAAGTAAGTGATAAGAAACATCTTTCAGGGTTTACAAGTATGAAGAAATGGGTGTCAAACTTAGTCTCTCACATCAAGGGAAGAACACAGACTGAGGCTGTGAGAACAGGGTGCAGAGGGGAATCTTTGGAACTATGAGGGCGGACATGAGAGGAGGATACTAGAAAACTGCAGTCAGGAGCTTTGTAATTTATATTCCTTGCCACATATTATTAGAATTGTCAAATCAAGGATGATGAGATGGATTGGACATGTAACATGCATGGGAGAAAGGAGAAATGTATACCAGGTTTTGATATGAAAGCCTGCATAAAAGAGAGCACCTGGAAGACTTATATGTGTAGGTTGGAGGATAACATTGGCTGTAAGGAAATAAGTGTGGGGATTTTGGTCAAATTGATGCGGATAGAGACAGTGAGATTCATCTGACCAGCAAAGCCAGTTTCAAGAAAATCGACATTTCTCGTTTGGTCCCCCAGTTACTGTATTGTCATTGTCCTGAAAATACCGCCTCTACAGTTTTATTTAGGGATGTGATCCTCACAAGTTACTGAAATATTGTCAGAATCATTACTGTCATTTTTAAGAAAATCACCATTTAGTGTTTTGAGGCCCATTCGTAGGTTCCATATTTTTGGAGCTGCAATGTTCAGATTCACCGGGCACCAATATAGGATGGTCAAGCTCTAGTACATTGGATATGCATAAAATTTGCCCTACCATTCAGTCACTGTCAAGGCATACATCCATACATACAGACAGACAGAATTAAAAAGACAATTTTTTGATACGTGGGGGCTGGAAACATGGAAATCCATCAAAATCCTGACATGAATTTCTTCGTGATCACAGTACTGTCTCACATATAGACCTACCATGTATATGGGAAATAGACTGAAAGCTGAATGCTGCATGCTGTTGTTGAGTTCAAGAAAGCAGCACTTCCAGGAAAAGCTAAAACTATGGGTCAGATATCCTGATACCAAAATATCTTTTAGGGTACGTCATACATATGGAAGAAAATTCCTATTCGTTCAACAAGATCTCCGGTATGGCGAGTTTGGTTCCCATCATGTGTCGAAAATAGGATCTGGTGACTTTCTAATGATGACACAATGATCTGTCACTGTCTGATGATGATGTAATATCAGAGATGTTTTAGACACGGTCAAGCAGCAACATTTTAAGACAGTTTGTTCTCTCCAGTTCATAGTTGTGCCACATTTTCCGTTCGCAGATTAAATCCTTCATTGCTACCAAGTACCTAACTAACTAACTAACAAACTAACTTCATGAATCTGAGCCCTTCTTGAGAAGTCACCAGTTGTGCAGCTACTCAAGAACTTCCCCAACATTTTATGGAACCCGAAGGTTCATTTCCATGTCTGCAAGAGCTCTTAACTGGTCCTTGTCCTGAGCAAAATCAATCCAGTCCATACCGCCCCCTCCAGTCTCTCTAAGATCTATTTTAATATTATCCACCCACTTACATATTGGTCTTCCTAGTGGTCTCTTTCCTTCTGGCTTTCGCACCAGAATTCTATATGCATTCATCTTCTCCCCAATTCTTGCTACATGCCTTGTCCTTCTCATCCTCCTTGACTGGATCATTCTAATTGTTCTTGGCGAAGAGTGCACGTTACGAAGCTGCTACCGAGAATGACAACTCAGGCATAAGAACTTGAAAATCGCTGCCTAACTGTCCGTGAAGTTTATGAAGAAGTAGGCTTCAGTAAGTTCATGCCACACAATTTTGACCGAAAAACTGGAGATGCATCGTGTTGCTGCAAAATTTGTGCCACTTCTTTTGACAGATGATCAAAAAGTGAACCGTGTCATGGTCAGTCAGGAGTTGTTTGACCATTCAAATGGTGACAGAAACTCTGAAAAATGTCGTAATAGGTGATGAAACACGGGTGTATGGGTAGGATATCGAAACAAAAGCTCACTTGTCGCAGTGGGTGTGAAGATTGTCGCTGCAACCAAAAAGAGCACGTCAAGAGTCGATCAAATGAGAAGGTGTTTTTAAACTTTCTTTTTTTTTTTTATTGGAAGGGCGTCGTTCATCATGAGTTTGTTCCACATGGTCAGACAGTTTTACTAGGAGGTCATGAAGCGTTTGAGGGAAGCAGAGTGAAGGAAGGGGCCTGAGGGGTGGAGAAACAAGACCTGGAATCTGCACCATGCCAGTGCACCTGCTAATATGTCACTCCTCATTTGTGAAATTTTGGCAAAGCACAAGATGACTATCGTCCCCCAACCGCCCTATTGTCCAGATTTGGCCCCTTCAGACATTTTTTGTTCCCAAAGTTGAAATCCACTTGAAAGGTCGCCGATTTCAGACAATAGAAGAGCTAGAAGAAAATTCGCTACAGGACCTACACGCTATCCTGCAAAATGGATTCCAGAACTAGAAAAAACATTGGAAGCAGTGTATGAACAGTGGAGGGGAGTACTGTGAAAGAGACGAGTCTTATTAAGTTGTAAGTTTATCAATAAATATTTTGAAAAGAAAGTTTGGTTCCTTTTTGGACAGACCACATATGTTCCTCAAAGAAGCAGGTAAGTTTGTACCAGACTGTGCAGCATCACATCCCAGATGACAGTACTGTTCAACAATGAACACCTTTTGTTAAGACATGTAGCAGGCATTCTAACAACCTGGTGTTGTTGCAGGTTGATGTGGAAGAAGATTGGAGGTCCTGAATTTGACATTGCTCGCAATACGCTGAACATCATCTACAATCAGACACTTTTCTTTGTTGGACTCTACTTCAGCCCATTGCTGGCATTCATCGTCGTTCTCAAGATGTTCATTACGTTCTATGTGAAGAAGGTGGGTAACCATGCATGCTGAAGTCCCTAGGGACTGCAGGAGTGCCTTATATGGGAAATGATGTCCCCTCTCTCAGATTAAAAGACTGACTGACTGTCTCTGTGGAACAGAACTCTTCTTGGGAAACTTATACTTGCTCAGCTAGTTAAGAAATTTCCAGCATTTTATGGAACGTGAAGGTTCTTTACTGTGTTCACAGGAGTCCATCAGCGTTCTTTACTTTGAGTGAGATGAATCCAGTCCAATCCCCCTCTCCCTGTGTCTTTAGGTTTAATTTTAATATTATTCTCCCAGATGTGCCTATGTGGTCTCTTTCCTTGATATCTGCCAGAACTCTGAATACACTTCTCTTGTCTAGTCTCCCATGCATGTTACATGTCCAGTCCATCTCATCTGACTTGATTTGACCGTCCTGATAATATTTGGTAAATGGAGCTAATGATAAAGCTCCTAGTTACCTAATATTGTAAGCCTTCTGTTTCTTCATTGCTTGTAGGTCCAAGTGTTCTAGTCACAACTCTGTGGTCAAACTCCGTCAGCCTTGTGTTTTCTGTCAGTGTGAAAGACCAGGGTTCACACCCATACAGAAGTACAAACAAAATTATAGATCTATATATTGTGACATGTTGCGCAACGGAGGACCCCTCCGTGATAACCGAGTAACAATTGGGAGTGTGTGATACAGTGACACTGATATAGCTCCCGCGTTATAAAAATGTATAGACTACTGACAATAGAGTGAATTGAATATTGAATAGGGGTTGTAAATTGTGAAAACCGATAACAGTGTTATAATTAATTGTAACCGAGACTTGTAGGTTGTTGAATAAACCAATTAACAATCTCTCCGGCGTATTCAGTAACAAAACCCGTTACAATATTTTAGTCTTCATGCGTTTAGACAGTAGACAGTAGGATGAAAGATTCTGAACAGAATGGTAGCAAGCATTACCCAAATTTGTGACCATGAATATTGGGATTATGTTTTTCTGTGGTATAATGCCATGTAGTCTAATGTGCTTTGATCTGTGCATCAGTAGGCAGTATGAGAAGCCAGTAAACTTGGCCCTCCTGAGTTGAATCTACAGATATTATGTGGAGCAGCCTCTCCATAGGGGACCACTGTGTGGTGTGTCATCTTCTAGAATGTGATGATGAATAGGCGGTATGTAGGTACCAGCATTACAGAGGAACCTGCCGCCTCCAGATGTCGGTACCTACATACCAAACTGTATGGCATCACAGTCAGAGTTCTGTTCTTGTCTTATAAATCCCACTTTCAGACACACTGCAGTCCAAGTTTCAGTCAGTGTAATGGCTTTGCACTATGTCATTCTAGCTTGGTTTGCTGAACAACTGCCAACCGTCAGCTAGGCCCTGGCGTGCTGCTCAGACCCACACGCTCTTCCTCGTCCTGTCTTTTGTGGCTGCATTGGTGGTACTTATCCTTCTGGGTTACATCTTCACACAGTAAGTAAGCAAGTACATACTTTTGCTGACCTCCTGCAGTGAACATCTCAGGTTTGATGCCAAATCCAATGTGTGTACTACCATTTCATACTTTGATCAAGTGATAATTTTATGAACAGCAGGTCCACAGCATATTGTCACATGATTAAGTGTCAGTAGTTTGGGTTTGGATTAGTAATTGGATTTTTTGAACACTTAGAGAAAGTAACTACAAATAACTACTACAGTCTCACTGAGTCACACACTCCAAAGATCGCTACAACTGCAGAACACATGAAGTCTTCTCGGTCTTCACAAGCCGTTGCTTGATAGTGGCTTCCAACAGTTGACTTCCCCTTTTTCTGGGTTCCTGAACTGTCCCCGGCCTCAGCTACTAACTTCTCACAACTGCAACTCTTGACTGACTGAACAGTGGATGTTCCTCTGCTCCAAGGCTCACATCCTTGGAGGCTGGTGGCCATCTCACACCAACCTTATACTCTTCTAACTGCCATCTCAGGACTCTCTCGTAATGTCAGCTGGTCCTTGTTATATAGCCCCGGCATGTACTGCACAGAACATATCTCTTCTGTTTTTGTGTGTTCTCTTGTTGCTGGGGAAACATGTCTACAGAGCTGTTTCCTTTGAAATGTAAATTTTTTTTTTACCAAACTACACATTATCACATTTCAGAGACTAATTTCCATGGTCATTGCTATGAATCTTTCACATTAAAGTGTGAGTTGAGTTTCATATAACTTGGGGATTATGTTAGATCAGTGTAGAGCAGAACTGAATTTGTGTGGAAATTTTTGTTGTGGGCACACAGTAAAAAATTTGATCAAAATACATGTAGTAGTTTCAGAGACAGAACGTGCGGACTGAAGGATGGGTTGCAACATGATAAAATCCACTGCTTTCAGAGTCGAGTCATCCAACTGTGGTCCATTCCGCACCTACGGGCATCCGTACGAGCTAATCCTGGATGTGTTCCAAATTCAAAATGAGGACAATGGCTTCTTGCAGTTCATCAGGTTCTTGACAAAACCTGGAGTGACAGCAGGAATTCTGTTGGCCATGTGGTAATTTCCATATTTTAGATACCAGCTGTGCAATTTCTCCTCCTCCTCCTCCATTCCCCCTCGCCCTTCCCCCTCTTACAGCATCTTTTCATTTCATATGGGGCTTCCTACAGAAAGTCTCAGTCCCGTAATTCTTTACAGGTCTTTTCGGTCACTCTATTCTCCAGCTTTAAGTCCCTCAATATGTGGCTCTATAAACTTGTTCAAGTGTGTCATCCCATAGCTCTCTTTGCATGTCGAGACCATGGTAATTACTTTCTCTTCTAACTCTTTTTAACAAATTTTGAATTCCAGTTTCTCTAAAAGTTTCATTTGTAACTCTGTTGCATCTCATACATCCAGTAGATCAGCCAAGGGGAAAATCTAACCTCTGTCCATTTCTCTTGTGTGCTTTCATTTTATGTTGCTTACACACAGGGCTAACTTCTTGTTATGGAGTCTTGTTTGGGCAGGTGATCAAGAAACTTGTCACCATGTTGGACACCTTCTGTCATATTGTTTTTGTTGAACACACGTTTCAGAAGTTGGCTGTGATTCCAGTAACAAATGAAAGTATAAAACTTGGTTGGGTCCATTAGCTGGAACTGACCTCAGTCCCTGGACTGGGGATCATGAAACCATAGCCAGCCTGCGAAAGAATGTGTTTCTTAAACTGAAATGAGACAGTGGAAAGTGACCAGTGTATGTATCAGTTAAATAACACACACCTTTGTCACAAATATCAGTACTTATCATAATGAATTGCATATTTTAATAGAATCTTAAAATTTATCATTGTTGTGTCAAAGGTGAGCCCAGGCTACTCTTGTAGACTACTGTCTTCTGGGATGTAGCACCGTATAGTCTGGTGAAAGTTCACGAATGTTGCAGGGGAACAAACTGCCTCTCTCTTCAGGGTGGAAGAGTAAGCCAAGCAAGAAACCAACAGGAAGCAGGCATGCTTGCTGCTTTCACTGAGTCCTAGGAGGTTAATTTGTGCTGGGACTGTAGCTAGGATGTGCGAGGCAAGAGTTGCGTGCAGAAACATGGCAGGGAAATCTCTTGGAAAATGGCCATTAGGAGGATCTAGAAGGAAACTGGAGGTTGAATCTTATGGGAATAAGTTGTGAGGATGGGAGGTGGATGGAACTGGCTTAGGATTATGTGTACTGGTGGGCTCTGGTATTAGGACTGTTGAGGCTGTAAATTCTGTTATGAGATGATTAGTTAGTTTGTGTACTAGTTTGGAATTTGGTGGAATTAAGTAAGTCATGTGTATGTTGCAGTGTTGGTGTGTACTATTTGCGCGCAAAGTCTCATGCACACAAAAGCATGGTGCACCTTCTGAGAGAGATGCTAGTGCTGGAAGCCAAGGACAAGGAGTTCCTACTTCACAGCATCTCCAAGGTCACTGAAGGCCGTGAGTAACCCAGCTTTTAGTTTTAATATCGAGCTGTCTGGCATTTGATGACATCTCACTGTGTCGCCCTGGACATGCTGGATATCATTTCAGAGGGACATTTTGACCCCTTGAGACTTTCATCAGTTAATATATTTCATGGCCTTGCAGTTATCTTAAAGACTCCAGAAAGGATAACACTGCATGGAAAATGTCAAGTGAGACTCACAAGTTAGCTCTTTGGCCAGTCAGAGTGCCCCTTAGTCGGGCTTGTTGTTAGTATGCAGTAGGTGAAAATGTTTATATTCAAAAGGAAAACTTTATTACATTAGATCATCATGAAACTGTCAAGCCATGAGATTCAAGATTTTCACAGCAGTGAAGACTTCTGTCTTGTGAGGTATAAAATCGTGTTATATTCAGGTAGGTCAATATGAGTGTTTCAGAGGAATATAGTACATCTGTTTTCAGGGTAGAAGTGTATCCTTCTGCCCTGATGGGTCCAGTCTGTTCCTTTGGAAATGCCTCAACTCATCATCTAGATTACACAGTGTCCTAACCCCAGTGACTACGATGTGAAGGTCAAGCAGTTGTCCCATCTGTTCACGTATTCTAGTCTCAGCTGTCTATATAATATTTACTCCGCCTCTCTTGGTCTGGTCAGTATGTGCCCAACAAAAGCAGCAGAAACAAACAGAAATTAAGAAAATAAATAAATGAATCAGAAATGTAAGTAGCAATAGAAAACAAACAGCATCAGGTCAGAATTACTGGGTTTTTGACTGTCCGTAGTCTGGAATTCTAAAGAAAGTAGAGAACACAACATTTCAGAAACTGGGTCTGTTTCCATCCTCAGGTGAAGGAGGAGGAGACACCTACTTTGTTGGGTCCCTTAGAAAGAACTAACCTCACTCACTCACTCACTCACTGGATCATGTTGTGTTCTCTATTTCGTTAGAATACCAGATGATGGACAAAGTCCAAAAACACACTAATTCTGATTGTTGTACACCATCTTCAGATCCCTTTAGAATCTGCTAGTATCTGGTTAGTCTGTTTCAGCATTTTATTGGTGTGTAAATCCACGTATATTTATAGTGCAGAACTGTTGGGCACTGCTTAATCAGCATGTAGTTCACCTAAAATGTGTTCTTTTTACGTACAGTTTGTGGTTAGTCTGATGAGTTTTGTATTAATGTAACATCTACTTTAATATTATGTTGTCTCCTTTGATAGCGTTTATGAAGTTTTTTCTTACCCTAGAGGTTTTTGACTGAAATTTTGTATGCATTTCTCATCTCGCATGCATGCTTGTGCTCCACCCATCTCATCTTCCTGGAAGTGATAATTCTAGTAATATTTATGCGGAGTAGAAATTATGAAGCTCCTCATTATGCACTTCCCTTGAACCTCCTGTCACTTCCTCCCACTTAGGTCCAAATATCCTGCTTGGCATTCTGCCCTCAGACCTTCTCTGTGTTATGCCTACACATTCCTGTTAGTTGTGTGTTAACAGCAAACATGAGTCTTTCTTTTTTTGGGGGGGGGGCTTATGTATCATCAGTTTCTTAAGATGATTGTATTCCCATCTCCTGCTGTGATACTGGACATTAACTCTGCTCAGAACTCCTCTTGAGTTAGGCAGAGATAAAGATCAGCTCCCTGTAGTAGCTGCAGCTGGGTAAGATGTTCCCTTCCTCACATTTGATGATAGAAACCGATCAAGTTTCACAAATGTTAACTAACCAGCTAATTCAATGGAGCAGAGCCCTAACTGTTACTCAGCTGCTAGAGAAATTTTCAGTGCATTATGGAACCTGAACATTCATTACCATGTTCACAAGAGTCTGCTACTGGGCAGAATATTCTGAACTGACTTGAGGCAATGGACAGTATCCAAAATTTGGTCATATTTACCATCAATACGTGTTCTTCCTTCAGAGTTAGCCACACTTGTATTAATTCAGGTTCAGTTTCAAAACACCTGTAAATGTGTATGTTCGTGCAGATGACAAGTCACAAATGCAGTTTTTTTTTTGTGTTGTGTGTATTGAAGGCATTTCTGTGATACTTGCTTACGTTTGGTCTGTTTTGCAGAATGGCTTGCTCACTTGAGGACCGAGAAGAGGATGGCTGGTAACTCAAACTTGCGAGAGCAGGTAATACTCAGAGTCCAACAAACTTATCTTACCTCAAGCTCTGTGAGGAACATGGNTTCAGTGAAATGGTGATTTCTAAAGGTCCTTCAAGAGCTCAGTGTATAGTTAGTTAGTTAGTTATTGGAGAGGGTGGGTTTCCCCATGCACTTAGACCAGTATTGGTCCATTGTGCTTCCCTCTATGATATTCTACCAGTCTTCTATAGCCTGTTGATATTGGTGTGTACCATCAGTCCCGACCGAGCCAGCGAGTTCGGCCTCCACTAGCTTGGGCGGGAAACGTCCTTGAATTTGGCTCAGTGACCTCCTTTTGAGATATGAGGTTCTTTTATGTGCTGTAAAGCTACGACACGGGACACACGGCTTAAAGTCCCTCCCGGAGGACTTATTCCCTGAATTTTTCCGCCCTTAAAAATTCGACGACCTCCGCCGGGTTTGAACCTGCGTACCATGAGTCATGAGGTGGGAACGTTACCTCTAGACTACAGAGGCCGCTTAATTTGTGTATAGCACTGACAGTATTATTTCCTCACCACTATATGTGAGCTGACTGTAGGAAATGTGGGAGCCTTAACATCTCACAGACTGTTACAGGTTCTTTTTTGTCCCCCTCCCCCTCAAATCCCATGGTAGACACCTGCCTCTGTAGGATGTAAATGTCATTGTCTCCTACAGATGTCACTCAAACGCAGGGAAATCTTCAGTGCAGCTTGTCAAAGCTTGAAAGAGTCATAGCATACAATTACAATGAGTG